CCGATCGAAACCGGCCGGCAGCAAACAACAGTACTCACTTGGCCAGGGTCGGGTCAGGACGGTGGAGACGACGACAGGGGCCAAGCAAACGGCCAGCCTTGGGACAACGTCATGCTTGCACACACACACACACACACACACACACACACACTTTCGTTCGTTGACCCAAGGTACCTCCCCAAGCTCCCCTACTCTTCGTGGTCGCTGGGAAATGATTAGAGTGGTTGGCAAAGCCCAGCGAGACCGGCGCGAGGGGATAACGAACAGACAGACACCATAACCTCAACGGCCACCGGGCGCCACGCTACGCCCCATCGAACCATGATAGATGCAGCCGCCCACCCCTGAGTTTGTGTGCCCACGGCTTCCCCGTGATCGTCCCCGCCCTGCCTCTCGACGACCTGACGCGACTCGTCTCAATCCCTAAGCCGCGACCCGGACGCCGTCAATGGCAGCCCACCGCCCGGGGTACGTCATGGGCTTCCCTAGGCCACTCCGCCGCCGTGAGATCTCGTCACGTTGAGCAGGGCCAAGGTCCGTCTCCCAGCTTCGACGCCAAAGCCTCGTCAGGCGCATCTGCCCCGGACGCCATCCACCTCAGCCAAGCTCCAGGTCCGGGCCCCCAAACCATCCCGTCTTGTGCCCCAGTTGGTCCCCCCCGCCCTCCAAACCCAGAACCCCATCTTTTCCACGCCACGAGGTTGTGTCTCAATAAGTACTTGACCTTCTGCCCCGTCCACACATGGAGTACCGCTCTTGCTCACCTCGACAAAGTTCCTTTCCGACTCCGAAAGACGTGGAGCCGTCTACATCTGCTCGAGTCTTCCCTCTCACCTACCCAGCTCGCAACATCCACGCAGCCAACACACACAATTATACTCGACCATTACACTCACAACACAACTAACCACCCACCATGCTGGGCACAAAGTACGCGGCCATCTCCTCTCCCCGTACAGCTCTACGCGATCATCTTTGCTGACAAGCCAGATCCATCAAGGTCAATGGCGCCGAGGTGGGCATCGAGTCGATCATGCTCGGTGTCATCACCAGCATCGGCGGCTTCCTCTTCGGATATGACACGGGCCAGATCTCCTCCATGCTTCTCTTCACCGACTTCCGCAACCGCTTCGCCACTGGCCCTCGTGACGAGGACGGCATCAAGACCTGGGTCTCCATCATTCAGTCCCTCATGGTCTCTCTGATGAGCATCGGAACCCTCATTGGTGCTCTCTCCGGCGCCTACACGGCTGACTGGTGGGGCCGTCGCAAGTCTCTCACCTTTGGCGTCTGCATCTTCATCATTGGCAACATCATCCAAATCACCGCCATGGATACCTGGGTTCACATGATGATGGGACGTTTCGTCGCCGGTCTCGGTGTGGGTAACCTGTCTGTCGGCGTGCCCATGTACCAGTCCGAGTGCTCCCCGCGCCAGATCCGCGGTGCTGTTGTCGCCTCATACCAGCTCCTCATCACCATTGGTATCCTCATCTCCAACATTATCAACTATGGCGTTCGCAACATTCAGACCTCAGATGCCTCGTGGCGCATCGTCATCGGCCTCGGTATCGTGTTCTCTCTGCCCCTCGGCATTGGTATCCTCATGGTTCCCGAGTCGCCCCGCTGGCTCGCCGCCCGTCATGACTGGGAGGGTGCTCGCATGTCCCTGGCCCGCCTTCGCGGCATGAAGGATGACCCTCACAACACTCTTGTTGAGGATGACATCAACGAGATGTACAAGGTTCTCGAGGAGGAATCGCGCGTCGGCGTCGGTTCATGGATGGAGTGCTTCACTGGCCGTCCCGCACGCCTGCCCAAGCTCGTCTACCGTACCTTCCTCGGCATGACCCTCCACTTCCTGCAGCAGTGGACCGGTGTCAATTACTTCTTCTACTACGGCGCCACCATCTTCGAGTCGGCTGGTGTCGATGACCCTATTCTCGTTCAGCTCATCCTTGGTGCCGTCAACGTTGTCACCACCTTCTACGGCCTCTACGTGGTCGAGAAGTACGGCCGTCGCTGGCCGCTCTTCATCGGTGGTCTGTGGCAGGCTGCGTGGCTCTGCGTCTTTGCCTCGATCGGTGTCGCCCAGCCTCCCGACAACAACTCCACGACTGGCATTGTCATGATTGTTTCGGCCTGCATGTTCATTGCCTCTTTCGCCGGGTACGTCCACTTGTGCCACCAACGTCAGTCTACATGTGCTAACCAATTGCAGTACTTGGGGTCCCATCTGCTGGGTCGTCATTGGCGAGACCTTCCCCGTCCGCACACGCGCCAAGCAGGCCTCGCTCGCCACCGCTGGCAACTGGCTCGGCAACTTTATGATTGCGTTCCTGTCTCCTCTTGCCGACGCCGGTATCGGCTATGCCTTTGGCTACGTCTTCGTTGCCTGCAACCTGGCAGGTGCGCTCGTCGTCTGGTTCTTCCTTTACGAGTCCCGCGGTCTTTCGCTGGAGAACGTCGACCGTATGTACGGCCAGAAGGATGTGAAGCCCTGGAACTCCAACAAGTGGGTGCCTCCCGGATACCTCACCCGTGAGACGCGCGACGAGGCCACCTTCCGTCGCGCCAGTGCGGCCCGTGGCAGCGTCGCCCACACGTCATCCGACGTGGAGAAGGAGAAGAGGCACGATGACAGCCCCAGCGAGAGCCATCACGAGGGCATGTTCAGTGGTCGCGACAACCAGGTTTAAGCGAGCGGTCTGGAGTCTTTTCCTGTTTGAATTTTCGACTGCTGTTGTCGCTGCATCTCGGACAACTAGCGCTGGCGTCGCGCTTGGGTTTCGATTCTTGTAATCATCCATTTAGCTGTGTATAAAATGATGACGTTCATGACCCTGCTACCACGTTGCTGGCCTGCGACCATGCCGATCCGTTCATTATGATCTGTGTACCTCCTTGCTTGTAAGGCCTCCACCCAATCTACTCCATGTACTGGATGTGGACCGGCCGGAACCGCCACAATGTCTACCTATTTCTGATCGAACAAACACAGACGTGATTTTCTTCTACATAGAAGGCCATGAAAATATCTAGGTAGTATTGAACATGGACATCTTGATTGGTTTTTAATGAATACAGTGATAAGGCGTGCAGCATGGAGCCATGTATGCAGGTGTGCAATAGTATGCTCTCGTCCCACTGACCATCTGCACCTGCCATGAGCTCTTCGTCACAGGCAGGTGTCATTGAGGTATACAGGTAGGAAGCACCTGGCAGATCTATGTCAGGAGCACCTACTTATTATCTACTAAACATAGATGCATTGTGCTTGCCTGTGCTGTGACTGTGGCAGTATTTTAGAAATCTGATGGAAGGATTTGAAGAGTTTGCTTGTAAACATCTTTACCATTCGACACCGCATGCCACGCCTGTACATCACCAGGTCCATCGTCACCTCTGAAGGTCCTGCAATGTACCATGGCCAGTGTTCACTGCTGTTTGCGACATGGCGGGCATCGTCATGTGTTTGTAAGTGAGGTCAATATCCCAAGCTGAGCTACTGGATGCGATCTGCTCGTCGATGCCCATTGTGTGCATCTTGACCAGATGCATTGGACACGAAAGCTAATATTGGCAGGTACTAGAAGTGTCTTGGACCGAACCCAGAACATACGAGGACCGCCGTCTCAACAACCCTCCGCCGTTCCGCGTATTAACCCAACTCAAGCTTACACCAACTCTCGATCGAGCCCCACCTCCCACAAGAAGATTTCTGCGAAAAGCAGAAGTGGATGAGGCATCTGACAACCAGGGCCTCGATGGCACGGACATGAACGCGCGTAGGCGTGCATCTCGGAAGCGTGTCAGGGCTTGGATCACGCCGACCGCTGGCGGGGGTTAGCTGCACTCGACGAGTACGCTTCCGACAAGGACCCTAATCCGGACCAACATGAAGATGACAACGACGACATGGAGGGCAGCTTGGACGTAGATGATGGCCTGACCTTGGATGAGACGGTCGAGATGCACCATCTTATCGATGCGATCGCTGGCGAAATAGATGAAGCTAAAGACGCCTTGGACGAGGTACTGGTTGAGCTGGCCAAAAAGCAGCCAATTGACGCCGAGGTTCTTGTCGGCGACTCGACAGCATTTGTCGACTTTCTTTCCACAGTCAACATCTCTCTGAGGTATTGTACCTCTCGCTCTACTTTTGACACCCTCCTGGCGCGAATGCCATCGGATGGCAGCCTCACACCTACGCCATGGGTTTTCGAATGTCCTCATGGATGCTTTCGCTGCCTTGGCTGAGGCTCATCTGTCCCAACACGGCGGTTCATGCAAGGTACGAAACGAAAGAATAGCCGATCGTCGACTCGAATGCATGCAATGCGATCAGAAGTTCGACACCAAACACAGTCTAGCCTGTTGTATAGGTCACATGCATAAATGGAGCAACAGTCGCTGCCCTCATGACGACTGTGGTGATGACGACACAGTGTATCAGTCGTATGGCGCCTCTATAGTCACCAGACAACGGCACACGACGACTCGTGGGAGACGACATGTCATGCTTCAGGCTGCAACCGCGGCAGCAAACCATTCACAACCCCGGGCAATCGGGGCGACCACATCAAATGCATGCATCCAAAGGTGGATTTGGATTCTGTGTCGCCTAACAAGGGAACAAACGATGAATAACGAGTGCCGGGAATTCTATCTAGGCATCGCGCTTTGGCCCCATACCAGGATGTCTCCGGACTGGAAGGTAATTGAGTCGTAAGTAGTATCTTAAGTGCTATTAGCCCTGCTTCGTGTCAATGTTGTATATAAATTACTAGATCACTCGAAGGAAGTCCTTGGAACGAGCATGGTCATTTCGATATTAGAGGAATTCCAGTCATCTTTCATCAAAGCATACTATGATATGACTCCGAAGTTCCAGACGGAAGTATGCTCATCGACTCATCATCTGAGCTGCTGGACAAAACATATCATGTTGTCTATAGATCAGTACTGAGCCCGTCATTCAATGTTTTAAGGAAAGTGCTTTAGCTCCTGAATACACTACTAAGCATAAGCCTTCCATGTCCTCTCTTCCGCTTTGCAGGCCCCTTGGTCGGCGTCTCATCCACATATACCTCCGTCGGATCCTCTGCTGTAGCGGGACCTTCCCTTTCAACAGTCTCCTCTTCCTCCCGTGGTCCCAGTTCCACAATACACAGGATGGTACTCCTCTTGCTCGGTGCTCGGGAACGGTCATCCCGCTCCTCCGGCTCGTGGACTTCTGGCAGAACCCCTGGCTCGCCGTCCAGCTCGATGTGGTCCTCGATCGGTACGATGGGCGCTTCTCCCGCTACCATCTCTCGAGAAATCTCCATGCCGGGCTTCGAACCCACAGCAAGCGCTCTACTCAACAGGGGCGTCATGTTGCAGAAGAGATCGGGATTTAGGATCATCGTCCGCGCAATGGCTAAATAAAACTCCCCGAGATCTATCATCTTCTGACTGTCGTCATCGTACCATTCGGCACCCTTGCGAGGATACCGATTGCAACAATGGCCCAGGTATGTGGCCATGATCTCGAAGGCGCAGATGGTCAGCTGTTCGCCCTCGATGCGCCGATCGATTGGCGCCTGCGCTGCGACGATGTCAGTGGCTTTTCTCATCTGTTCATACTCTATCCGCCTGTCGCAAAAGTCTTGCTGGTAGAGGAAAATGTTTTATGTAATCGGAAATAAATCGGACGATGAGCACTGGACTGTGGACTGGACAATGAGCAATAGACCGGACAAGGAGGAATGAACTGGACGAAAAGGAACGGGCCGGCCGGGCAATGAGCAACTGACCAATGCGCCACAGGCGGCCACCCATCTGGATTTCTGTTGCTGTGTTGTCCGGGGCCTTCAACAGGATGTCGTTGTGAAAAGTGCTGTGATCATTCGCACCAAAGGCGGACGGCCTGCTGCTGGTGATCAACACATCGGCCTTGGAGTCTGGATTGTTGATTTGATTGATGGCGCCCTCGCGCTCGAAGCTTTGTGGGAGCTCTCAATGCGCAATGTTTTGTCGAGATTGCGTTGATCGTTCTGCAGTGTGGTCAGCTCGCATGTTGATTGAGAGGGGTTGAAGCTTGTAGGCCAAGATGAAGGAACATCTGGAGGCACGTACTGCGGAGCCAGGGGTGTTATTCACAATGACCAACAGCCGTTCCTTCTTCTTCTGGCAACGTAGTGCCATGCCCAACGTGAATGCGTACTTAGGTGATTTGTTCACAACGTACCGCAGTATCTCCAATCGATCTGACGGGAAGGAAAACTCGTCGGTTGGGCGAGTATGGTAGAAGTACCAGTGGAGACCCCCCGTGTGGTCGTTCAGGGCCACGCGGTTCATCTCAGCGACACCGGCCGCTGTCCCTGGTCTCTGCTTTTCTGCCTCTACGGCCCTCTTCCGCACTTGCGAGCTTGTCAGAGGACCTTGAGACTCAATAGGTTTGCCCAATTCGGCATCGGCAGTCGTGACGGTGTTCTTGCCCTTATCAGCATGCATCCCATTAGGCTTCATGACATTATACATGGCCTCCATGTCCCCCAGAAGTTTCATGGATCGAACTGATGGATGCGTCATGATCTGATTCCGAACATCCGTGCCAATCAGCCTGGCACGTCTGTACATACCAGGGTATATCATCATCCCTAAAGACCCCGTGACCTATCCACGGCCAGTGTGCTGTGCCATCTTTGACATGGCGGGCGTCATCATGTTCTCATGTAACGAGCTCAAACGGCTCTCACAACAAGACTTCGGTCCGCGCGCATGCCCAGCTGCCCGCTGGCCGTGGGTCACATGATGGACATCTTGCAGATGCGCCGGGCAATGTTGAATCCGCTCACACTCCCGAATGGTCAAGTCTGTCAACCCTGGGGATGAAATTCCTCCTATCGAGGTATGCCGGGTTGAAATTCGACGCCACTTGACAACGTCACCAAAGGATGCCACGAGCGTTGGATTCAGCAAGAATAAGGGCATGTGCTTGTCCTTTAGGGCCTTGACATATTCATCAGGCCTTTGCCCAGCCCTCTGAGTCTTATTCTGGTTTTGCCATTTGGCGGAACCAAAACTCACCAGACGCGCAAGATCGATCTTTTCCCAGGTGTTACTGTCGCGTTCGGGATCAGTCAAAAGCTTGCTAACAACCTCGGAGGCAAAAAGCATCTGTGGCTGAATTTCTGTACCGGTCGGGTTGAAGCGGAATGGCCGAGACTGTTGCCAAATCATGTCTGCATAGCCAAGGAGGTCTCGAGTAGAATTCAGTAAAGGAGTGGCGGAGACGAAAAGTGTACCATCGTCACCGAGTTGAGTGGCCAGTTGGTGCCGCTTGGAAGAGACGTTCTTGACCTGATGGCACTCATCTGCCAACAGCCAAGAAACTGTCCGCCCTTGATGGCCAACTCGTATTGCTGGCCCTCGTAGCTCTTCGGCATGGAACACCGTGCTTTCTTTTCGCCAGCGACGGTATCTTCTTCCTCTTTAAGGGCCTCAGTCTCCTCGTCGATATTGACTGTAGTCAGCTCCGCTGGCTCATGTCTTCGTCAGTCTGCTCGGGGTTGTCAAAAGCCTCGGAGTTATCCGAGATGCCACCATTGACTTTGTGCTCCGATGAAACAGCTTGTTCAAAAAGGTGCTGGATTGATATTCGGATCAGAGGAGGGTTTTATAGTGTGAGAGGAAAGTCGACAGCGGCGACTTGGCTTCTGAAGCTTTTTGGGAAAAAGCTTTCTGCGCCATAAATTAAAGCCCTTTCCTGGGTGAAACAATAGTCTTTCAGGTTTCTAAATCACCTGATTTTGAGTCATTCCGTCAGACGGGGAAGAAGACACCACAGCCTGTAATGAAGGTGCCGCCTGACAAGTCTGTCCCGAAGGTAGTGCTGTCCAGGCAAGAGCGCTTCTCTGAATTCTTCGGTGTCTGAGTAAGAAATGTATGCAGTCAGAAGTTGATATAAGGTAGATAGCCAGATCAGCTTCGCAACGGCGAGTGGAATGATCTGTCTGTTTGTATGGAAATCTATACGCTTAAGTGGCCAGGACTGTGAGTGGGTTTATATTGTAGGCCTGTAATAGTCTCGGTGGAATCAGTGGCAATGGTGGAAAGTGCTGGGGTGAGGTGGTACAAGCCACGTATAATGTGTTCAACGTCGCAAAGGCCAGTTGTATCCTTGTTCGTCTGGAGACGGGAGGAATTCACGCAGAGGAACTGGATGATCGCCAGTCTGAAGATGAGCACCTAAACCAGGATACCAAATTGTTCCTGGAGTTGCTGATTTGATGAACAGCCTAGTTGACGATGGTATTTCTGGTGCAGCGAGGTGTCGCTCTGTATAGAAGGAGGAGGAGCGGGTCGGATGGTTTGTAGTGAAGCAAGTCTCAGTGGGAGCGTTCCGCCGAAAGCTGGCGACAAGCAAACTCCTCCATGTGAGTTTAGGCAACAGGGAAATGCGACAATTCTACATGTGGTATACGGATTCACTTCTCTTGCGCAACTAGCTAGGCAGCCTTTTGTCTGGCAAGTATCCACGTCTTCGCTCCAACCGCTCCAACACACGAGTCGGACGATCATGATTCAGCTGGAAGAAACCTACAAGGTAGCCTCTCGTGATACGATCACCAATTCTCCCGAGCACCAGCGGCATGATTCATAGAGGCCATATGACAATTTACAAACAAGTTTGACGAGCAAGCAATGTGTTTTCACGGCGCGGTTTGCCCGCTTCAGCATTATGAGCGAGCCGAGCATCTAGCGACCTAAATGGCAGAACCAATCCTGCACACAAAACGGGTGCTAATACATATGTTTAACCGTATTGGGCTCCTTAGTTCACTAACAGTGATTTCTCGTCATCCCAAAGGTTGTGGGGGGATATCAACTACATATACATGCCTTTCCATAAGATTCTGTTTTAACCAATCATCAGCCACGCGCCTCCAGTATATTGCCGTCGTCTGTGCGTTGTGATCAGACCCAATAGTCAGCTCAGGTTGGTGCCCAAGAGTCAGGTGAGCTATATCCTCCACACCCACCGAAAGTGTAAGCGGTCGTCCCTTTTCTTCATTCTTCTCCAGCCCAGTTTCGTCTGTTTCCAGATTCAGGCCGCGCCACAGCATGGGCACAGCATGGGCCAATCTATTTCCATTGGAGCCCTGCTCCCGCTGAGACTACGCCTCTGGCTCGGCAGTGTGCTCTTTCGCCCCCTCGGCCTAAAGACTGTCAGAGTAAGCTGGCGTCGCGTCATCAAGGGGCCATGCGACCCCCCTGAAATCGAGGCTATGCGGTACATCGCCTTGCACACAACAATCCCAGTCCCTCGAATCTACGCTATTCATACCAAGAACTGTTGTATCTATATTGAGATGGCGTATATCCAAGGCGATGCCTTAGATACCACCTGGGCTGATCTTTCGACGGACGAGAAGGATACCATCTTCGCAGACATCAAACAGTACGCGTCTTCTCTTCGGGAGCTTCAGCCCCCCTCGCAAGATATCGTCTGCTCGGCTTCTCGTAATCCCGCCTACGACTGCCGTATCGGATTTCAATTCTTTGGTCCCATGACCCATGACGAGTTTCATTCTTTGACGCGAAAGAATTTACTTATGGACGACGTCAAAGCCGGTGCTCTCGGCCGAGAAGTGGCCACAACGCATACGAGTCGCTACCGCACTTATTTTACGCATGCGGACCTAGCCCCAAGAAATATTATTGTGCGCCACGGGCGAGTTGCTGCTATCATCGACTGGGGATTTGCAGGATGGTATCCAGAATACTGGGAGTTTACGAAGGCGCACTACAACTTTTTCTCCGAAGACTGGGAGGAGTATCTGTCAATTGCTCTTCTCGCCTACAGTACGGAGCTCATAGCCGAACAGACGCTCTGGAGAATGCTGCCGGAACCGGGCGCGGCATCCACATCCTTTTTCCGCGATGGGACCAGCTTTTCGCACAAAGGCTCAGAGCCTTCAGAAGCCTGGCTGGCTGCTAGAAAAGGTCGTCAGCAGACAGACTTGTGGTCTTTGGCCCTAATACCAAGGAATTGACATGTAAATCTCTTCTCTCTACCAATCGCCCAACCCTTGTATGAACTTTAAACACATCCCCCACCCGCTTGTCTGACTGGCCTAATGGTGTGCGACAAACTTATTTTCGTACACGACATTCGAGCGTTCCGATTTGCAAACCCCTGCTATTGAGGGAGACAAAGTCCACATCCGTGTAGCATTTAGCAATACTGGGCCTCGAGATAGTGCGGCCGTTGTTCAAGAATATGACGGGTTTCCTTCAGCTGCGGCCATGGGCCTGAAATGGTCTGGACTAGTTCAAATATAAGAGAATATGAGACGAATCAGAACTTCCACTGAGGGCCGTGGCCGACCATTTCAGGATTGAAGTCGGCTCTGGACTGGAGACACTGGATGGCTTTCCCGCGTCGAGCACTGGCCGGGCAGCGGATACATCTGCCGGCAGAAGGCAGGTCCAAGGCAAGACGTTATGGTGCATGCTTCAAGTTCATTTTGGGTATTCTAAGCCCTTCCTATCGAAGTTTCGATTGTCCGAAAGGTTATAGACATACACCTGTAAACAACTTCGACCGGCTTCTGCGGACTAACACTATCCGACATGTCGACTTCACAGTTTGGAGAAATCGACAAGAGCAACTACTCCATGGAGAAATTTGCATAGCGGACAGCTCTTTCGGTTTGATAAGTCTCTGAATCTCAGCCAGTTCTTTCAATGGGCAGGGTGGAATCGCCAAATATGGCACGTTGGTACATGTGAACAAGGCAGTGTCACGACAAGGAGGCCTTGCCACTTGAGTGCCTGAATAAAGTGCTATCATCATCTTCACAATATGGTTTGAATCCTCACCAAATTCCAGGTATCATCAGCTCAGATTGGTAGGTGGCATTGACGTGGAAATGGCAGGGCCAACAGCTAAGAGATAACCGTATATAAGTAGGCAAGGTTCATGTACGCCCGCTTGCTCCAGAACCAGCTCGAACGCTCACGGCCCTAGCGCACCAACCTTATCATAAGCGGCCAAACTCCGGGACCTTTCGCCGTACTGCGATGCCTGTCCGGTGGTCTTTCACACCCGACCCCGGGCATTGACCTCAATGAGTTTTCCCGCCCTTCGATGCTGCATAAATTGCACATGCTTTCGGTTGGCATAGACCACTGGAAACCAAGGCTTAACTGCCAAGCCAATAGCCTGCCTTGCGAGCCCAGAAGGTTGGCCAACCGGATGGTCGTTCTGTGCGGATCGGAAGTCTCCGTCGCTTGTATGCTTGACCTCGAGAAGACGGCAACAATCTCACGCAAGACATATGATTGAGGCATCCGCATGACCTGCCTTCCCGTACGAGCATTGTCATGTTGGCTTCATCCTCGCTTCTACGGTATCGTGACAATGTACAATAGCATTCTCATGTTCTGGATCGTCAAACTTTCCAACTGTATACAGCCACCTGCCCGAATCATCATCATGCAACAACAGAGCACCGCCTTCCGACTCTCGTAAGTATGTCTGCCGATCCGACTTTGACGAT